TTCCATGCGTTGGTTACAAGTTGATCAGCTGCGCAGATAAACCTTATCTCAAAAACTAATCCGGCTCAATTTTACAGGCCCGTTACAGGGCACTTACAAGCTACTTAGCTCATGACAAAAGATCAGTCTTCCAAGCTGTTAGTTGAGGACTCAGATGGCAAATTCTCTTTCAAACGTTGGCCTAGCTGGACATAATGAAACATCAAAATTGTGGCGAGATAAAACATGTTGGCAGTTAGTGCGGAGTAAAAAGATGCTCGGAAAATATTGAAAGAATATTGAGGCGTTACACCCTCTTGGAAGAAAACGGTAGAACAATTGACTTCAAGGGATGCAGCGATTCTCAAGTCAAGTGTTCTGCCGCTTGTGATAAAGCGCTGATCGAACCCGGTTTTGGTCACACGAACAAATCCGAATCGCCGCGCGACTCCCTGTTGCGTTACACCTTTCTTGCTGCGTTAGCCTTGGCATATCTTAGTTGTTTTTCGGCGACGATATGACATGCTCAGTGGAATCAACCCATTCTTTGCCTGTGGAAATCTGATCTTTCACGTATGGCGCGGAGAAAATCTTAGTAGGCATATTCCTGACGTGACACGTACACAGCGCTCAAAGGTTGGCTTGTAAACGCTGATAAGGTTCAGTCGGTGTTGACTCGTCCGGCAAGGAGCAGATATAATTCCGTCACAAATCCAGCTACGACGGCGAGCCCTAAATTATCTATTGAACGCTAGTATGTATTCAGCTTACTGTCCCTCCACGAACTGAAGCAGTAACGGTCGCGTTCGTCAGGTTCCAAACTTCTCTGACCCCCTTGCGGTAAACCGAGGTGGTCGTCGTCACCGTCGCAGTTCACTACATCCCAGTGCCGACTGTCGAGGTTGCATCCGTCCGTCCCCTGGCACGAGTAGCATTGCTTGCAGATCACCGTAGAGGCAGAGAGCACGAGGAGCGAGACCAGCAGGAGGATGTTCATCTTCACCTGATAATTTGTCAGTACATCGGTTACTGGTACCCATAGTGAGATCGTCTGATCCGGCTTTGCGAAAGCCACAAATCGACGCAGACATCCCTTGGTTGCCGCTTACAATTTACGCTTGCAGTTGCCTTATTTCAGACGAACTCAACCAACATTACTGCAAAATGGCGCTCCACTATTTCTGATTCTGTGATAACAATTCTCAGCTATTGCAGTCAAGCTAACTACCCTGCAAAAAAGGAATCACCTCCATCGGATCTGCGTTTAGCGAGATGTAGCCCCCCGAACTTTGTGGGAAAACGGAAAACCCCATGAACGGCAGAATTTTCATCTCGGGAACCGTTCATCATACGAAGGCGTGCAATGGCTTCAATCGGAGCTCATCAATAGGTAAACAATTCGCCCCGTAAAACCTTGGAGCTGTAATGAGATTTCAGCATCATTGTTGAGTTTGAAAATATGAAAAAGTATGCATATTTTACTCCCCCCCCCCATATCCTCATTCGGTGAAAATTAAAGACAAACTTGTTATGGTAAGTTGCATTCCTCTTTCAGTTGCTTGGATAAAGCGAGTTACCTACTTCACTTATGGTCCGCTACGTAAATAAAAATTAACCTGAATATCGGAATTTTAAGCTGGCATTTCCATAGGTACTATGGGGAAATGCTAGATATTGTGGTCGGTGTCATTTTTATTTTCAAATTCCGTCTGTCCGCAGTAACCATAGCGACCTACAGTTGCTCAGAAGACGCCAAAACCTGGCTAAAAGTAAAAAAAAATGAAGTTACAGTAAATATGCAATTTTTAGATTTTTTCATTTCAGAGGTGTCGCCCATACAACACCAAAAAAATCAGAGGTGCGGCTCACAAAGACCCTAGCACAGGTGCACATGGAACGAGCAAACGTTTGGACACGTTCTTGGACACGTTTCGGCTTGTACGGAAACATTTATAGAGTTTATCTTAGAACCTTGTGCACGGTTGAATGGGGAAGATCCAGAAGGCGGGAGACGGCACGACTACTGCTCATTCCATGTGCACTTGTGCATTTCTTCGTGAATCGCACCTCTGATTTCAGCGACAACTTTTTTGGGGTTGACGGCCTGCCTCCATGCGGGCTGTTGCAAACACATTCAGTTTCCTCGAACTTGTCGAACAAATTCATTAGAGCTTGTCTCGAACAGGACCCCAAACGCAGGTTGTGTGCTGTGCGGTACTTTCGTAAGGCAACAACAGCATTGCACTTGTCGGTGTAGAAAAGCTTAATTAGCTATCCTCTCTGCTTCTTAGTCAGAGTCGTGACGTTTCTATACATGACAGAAAATTATTAAATACTTTCATAGTAGCGCAATCCTGCCAAGAGTGTAAATACGGAAAAATAATTTTTTATTTTTTCGCGAAACAGGCTCAAATATAATTCCATGATCCCCTGAGTATCTCCCTAAAATTTCACTGTCTTATGCCTTTCCGTTCCGGAGATATTGAACTTCAAAAGTGTAAGTTTAGTGTAAGGACAGTCTAAGGACACCCTGTACTGTACATACATAAGTCTTATTTTAAGAAGATAATTATTTGGCATCTATTGGCACCAAAATTCCTGGTAATTGAGATTATCCGTCTGCAAAAATGTATTTCAAGGTTGGATGGTTAGGATGCTGTGAATACATATAATAATTTCAGTGGTGCAAGGGCCAGTGGGATGGCAGATCTGTACCTGGGCTGGTTCTCTCTAGTCTTTTGGTCATCTTTGGTTGAGTATTTTTCGACGCGGCGGAGTACCTACGGAGTCATGGGTGGTGTAATTAGATAGGTGAGCTTGAGCTCTTTCCAACGATGCATGATTTATTGTGTCCTTTTAGAATAAATTTGTTTTTAATTTGTCAAAAGTTGCATTTTCCAAAAATTCTCTTTTTCTTAAAGTGGATGAATTCAATCTTTAAATATATCGCTAGAAAGGTCTTCCAGAGATTGTTATGCGTAACTATATAATGTTATGCGTAAATCACAGTAATATGCAAGTATAGTCTGCATCATGAGAACCAAATTGTTGCTTACCGATGAGTCCCTGAGCGGTGATTGGTGAGCAGCAAGTATTATCTAAGGAAAATCAACATACCGACAAGCTGAGCCAAAATGAGAGCCAGAATCACAGATCACAGATCCGACGGAGGTCATTCTATTTTTACGAGGTTATTATTATTATTCGTACGTCTCGGCCACACATACAGAGGAGAAAGGGGTGACAAACAAAAATAAACAAGAACAGCGAGCAGAAACGGCACGGAAGGGTACACATTCGCGCATCACCAGCATATTTACACTTGGAGGGGGAGAGACCTTAGCCACTCCAGGGCCTCGGGGGTGGCATGATGGATTCCGTCGAGACCTCCGGGAAAGGGGTGGAGTATGCACCTCGGCAGGTGGTCCATAGTTTGCGGAAATCCGCACGGACAGAGAGGGGTGTCGGAGTGGTCCCACTTGAAGAG